TAAAAATGGTTGCTGAAGACATTAGGTATATAAGTCCCATTCATATACAGATGTCTTCAAGGACATGGATTAACAGATAACTGATAACTGACATCCATTACCCCTGTGAGCTTCAGTTTGACATTCCAACCACCTGAAGAAGGCCAAAATGTTGTGATAAATATGGCAACAAAGCTGAGGACAATAGTCCAAACAATATAAATAGCATAGTGGATCAAACTAATGTAATAAATCATTTGTGTTATTTTTCACTGGGCAACACCAGGTCTACCTGCTAACAATTATTAGACCATTAATAGGAATTCAATTTTCACTAATTGCACAAAAAAAAGAGGTGCCTGTGTTATATCTGTTTATATATGTATTTAATATTACTCTATGCTTATAGAACATTTCTCAACTTTGAGATCTTAAGTTGTTTATCATGTGCATATTTCTTAGATTATAACTTTTAATCAAAGTTTTGCTACAAAAAAATGATAAAAATATCAGATGAGTGCCATTAGATGTGATTTAAACTTGCTCCAGACCAAACCAAAGGAAAATTGTTTTGTACTAAAAATTCATGCCAACTAATTCATCACATGAGTCAATTTAGTAACTGTCATGGGCAACCATGAGATACATTAGTCAAGTCTTTGTTAATCATCTAGCAATTTCTACTGTTTCAAACTAAATCCAACCATCTATTTGTAATAATGAAATCAGGCTCAAACCAAAATGGCTGAAGAAACCTATGCATCAGCAAATATATTATGGGTCACAATTTGATTATATGCAAAAGAAAAAGTTAAGTTAACCAGAAGATTTTGATTGCATCTCAGGAAAATTGATTGAGTGATACTATTTGCATAGGATCACACCTTGTAAAATCATTTTGCTTGTGAGGTTTACAAAGAAACTAGAATAATCATTAATTAACCTAAATTATGAATTCACCTCCAGCTTAACAGACATTCTGTAATTGTTGAATATGAAATGAAATAATATTAAGAGTTTTTACTCAAAAAAAAAAATTTCAAAGAATTTTAAAGAAAGAATTTTCCTTGAGAGAACTCAATGAATAAACCAATAAGTCACATCCATAATCAATAAGTTACTATTTTTACTCCATTGAAATGATCTTTTTCCTCTTGCTCTTTCTTTGTATATACAGGTGTGTACATGTATATGTGAGCATATATTTGTGTGTATTTATGAATGCTTATACAGATGTATGCTAAGACTTTCTTTCTGAGAAAATTGTTTTTGACCAGTAAATTGTCACTTTATTAATGATCACTTATATTTTGTAAAGTCATGTTTTTCATACTTGAGTGTATGAATCAATTTTGTTAATTCTATTTTACTTAAAATTCTTTGAAGCCTAAAATACACTTATTGATTGAACTGAGGATCAATTGGCTAAATTGAAGATCAATAGACTTAACTCAAGTTCAGTTCAAAAAATAAAAGAATCAATAAACCGGATATGTTTAAATGGTGATTGTACTGATAAGTACAGAGATAAAAGATCATTTTCAGAATTTTACAGCAAATAGTTTAAGATTTTATGCAAATTATCTTTTTAAAAATGCAAGATGGATTTTTAAATTATTACAAGTTATTTATTATATGAAGAATAAAGTATTCATAACATTTTATATTTCATTGAAAAAGAAATGTTTAATATTTGCATTTATGGTTGTATATCAAATACATACACATGCACATTGATTGATTCATTTTCTATGGCTTATCAACCCTTTGCAGGTTATTTAAAGCCAGAAAATATTTTTAGATTGTAAGAATTTTTTTTAAGGAGGGGGGGGCTATAATACTGGTTTAGTGTTACAAATCTTACTAATTAACCCATAGCTAGGAAAAGAAGAGTTGGATTCATTTTAAGGAGGGTTTTTTGGTCAATTGAACTCATTTCTGTTGCTTTTTTAGGAATGACTGCCAGAGATAAAGTTTCATATTATTCCAATATAGCATTATTGTGCATGTGATATAGTAACATTTACATATTTTTTTAAATCAGTTCACTACAAGGAAGGCAATAAAACCACTAAGATGCAAGGAGTTACTGAGTAATAAAGAATATGAGAAAAAATACTATTAAGGAGAGAGAGTTCAATAAAAGAGTAAGAATTAAAACGACAAAAGATAATGATTGATGCTTCATTTAAATTTAAAATCATTTAATTTTTTGAAAACTAAAGCTGAATTGAGAGCAAGAAGCTGGTTCGACAAGTCTGAAATGCAATGTAAGAAATTCTTAGTTACATCTATGAATTGTAAATTGCCACTAATTTAATACTGTGTATAAATTCATAAATTCTAGGTACCATAGAGTAAAGTTCATCAGAACAATTCTCATGAAAGTATTTACAGGAAAGGCACAGGAAAGCTACATTATAGCGGCAAGAAATTGACTAAGTCAAGATGCCAGGTCAGGACCAATAACATTGCTAACTCTTTAGATTTTATCAAGAATCTCTAAATATAGAATAGGAGCTGCTGACCATAAGTGACAGTGAAGTATAGATGAATGGTAGACTTATAAATATGTAAGATAGATTCTGGAGAGAAATATTGTCTAGCCCAACACAGTGAACCAACTTTCCTAGCAGCAGACCTAGCAATTGATTCAATATAATATTTCCACTTTATGTCAGCAGGAAATATTAGCTTGAGAAGGTGCAACAAGTCACACTCTTAGAGGTTAGTATCAGCTATGCTGATGTAAGGTAGAAAGGGGTCTCTTAAATGATTGATAGAGAACAGTTTTGTTTTAGAGTTATTAAAATTAACAAGCCATTCCTTGCCCCAGTTAACAGCTAATTGTAGGTAATTTATGAGATCAGCTGCTAATTTGACCTTATTGAACTGATCAGACTTACTATTAAGACAGGAGTAAAAAGTTCTATTATTAGTATATATTTAAAGAATTAATGGATTTATTTTTAATCCAACATTTTTATTATATCAAACGTTATACTTGAAATATAATAAATAAATATGGGGTGTCTATTTCAAACAAGAGTATCCATTATAATAACATTTGTAGTCATAAAATACATTGCATATGTGTGTGAAAGGCAGACAAAGACATGTTTATAATATTTGAGAGAAAACACTTTATCTAAATTATTATCTAAATATTTACAGAACTTTATGAGAAGCTGGTACTAATTGACTAGGTTACAAATTTTGTACATCTGGCCAAATTGTGATACAATGTGACTTCTCTTACCCTTTTACATGTACATAAATTATAGTGAGTCAAAGGTGAATAATTTAGTTTTGTAACGCTACAATGTTTTTTTCTATACATGAGAAAAAGATGGATGAATCATAGAGACCCCGAATATAGATCTGCAGTTAGAATACCATATATAAGAGATTTGGTTTAATAAATTTATGGATATTATCTCATCAGTGTGATTTTAAATAGTGTAACCTTTCTTCAATAACATTCTTACTGGAGTTGTCACTTAGAATAGTGCTAAAAACTGTATCTGAAACATTTCAAGTAAGTGTGGCAAAGAATATAAACCAGAAACTCAAAAGACATAAAAGTGGACCAATCTTGTTTGGCAGATCATATCTAGTGTAAGAAGTGTTTATATTACCCCGTTTGGGGGTAAGTTTGAATAATATCATTGGTGGAACTCATTGCCAAGTATTGAGGTGCTTATCGACATTTCCTTCTGTGTGAAATGAGTTTTATGTTGGACCTAAAGAGACGTCTGCAAACACCACGTATTAGGTTAGGATGGTTCAGGGGATTGAAAGTTCTTACTTTTCTTTTGGCTCCCTTCATCTTTTCTATTTTGTCTTTTGTTGTTTTCAAAGAAGGATGTTGTTTTTTCATGGACTGCTCTTCTCCAATTGGTTCTTTAGATGTGAGAAGAAGAAAAGTCTTTGAGCATGAAAGCTTGAATATTCAAGTTTGAATATACACTGGTGGAAAGTGAGAAAATTGAAAGTAATGGAATACATCAATTTAGCACAAAGCATAAATCAGACAAATGTGGATTTCAGTGTAGTGTGGTTTTCATTGTATAACAGAAACAAGGAATTAAATTCTTTGTTTAACAAGGAAAAGAACTAAGAAATTTTATGCAAAATGAATTTATGGAACAAGCTTTACTACATGTGTTGCTGAAAATAGAATAGCTTTCACATTTTGCAGCTAGTGTTCAAAATTTGTTTAATACTAATGTTTTTTTTTGTTTGATTTACTCTACAATTAAAAGAAACCCAGTTTTTCTATATGAAAAGAACACATGAACAAGCCTATAGAATGAATTATTCAAAACATTGTAAATACAAGAAAAATAATAAAATAGAACAAGTTCAATCTTTGAAAACTGTTTGATGTCTTAAACATTATCAAGACATTTTTTAGATGTTCTTGGAGTTTTATCAGACAAAAGATTTAATTTTAAAGTTTAATTTCTGATACAAAAGACTTTTGAGATTTTTTAAGATTTATATATCTGGATTTAAGAATACTGTCTATGTTTATCATGTAAATTTAGAAATAAGTAAACATGAATTTTGTCAATTTTCCACACATTTTCATTTTCAAGTTGAAAAATGAAATTGACTTTTTTAATTTTTAAAAGAACCATATAATTCTGCCAGCATATGAAATTCCAGAATTTTTTTGTTTAACTTTTACAGAATTCAATGAAATCTCTATCTGGGTTTTAGCTTTTGTTGTACCTTTTAGATTGGCTGATTGATTAATTTTTTACAGCTTATCAACCTTTTTGCAGGTTATTTAAAGAAAGAAAATATTTTTAGTTTATAAGAATTTTGTAGATATAATAATGATTTACTGATACATCCTACTAATTAACCTATAGCTGGGGAGAGAAGAGGTGGATTCATTCCTTTCCCAAGGGTATTTGCATGTAAGTGAATATAACAAACCTGACCAGAATTGGAACTCGACTCTCTGTTTTCCAATTCCATACTGTTAACTTTTACACCCATGTACATCCAAGCTTACAGCACCTGGTATACCCAAGGAGTCACCCATCTAGGTACTGATCAGGCTCAATGTTGCTTAACTTCAGTGATCGTACAAGAACCAGTGTTTCAACATGATATGGCCGTAAGCTTGTGTATCCTTTTGAAAAACTGATAAGTAGACATATGAATGTGATATCATGATTCTCAAATGTCAATGGAACTTAATTTATCTATGACAACAGATCCATATAGGTTATCAGATGAGATGAGATGAGATTTTTTTCTTTTTCTGTTGTAGCCAATCTAATTGCTTGTCAGTAATCTCTAACCAGCCATGTTGTTCAGATTGTTTTCTTTGTTCCTGTCACTGAAGCTGCATTTAGTTGCTAATTGCATACTTGTGTTTCATTCTTGAGTGCTAACTATTATACTTCATTATTCTATTATGTCACATAAAGCAAATGAGTTCAAATAACCCCAAAGAGGATTTATTCATTTCCTAATTTTAAGGGATACAAATTCTTCATAAATAGCACATGTTTGTCGCCATAAAGAATATTGTTATGTTAGCCAAACTGGACTATTATTGTCATTTTTTATGATACTGAACTGTACCACATTCTTAACAGTTTTTTAAATTTTTGATACTATTCTTCACCTAATATAAGGCGCAAGAGCCACTCATGGTAGAGGGCTACTGAATGAGGTTGTTGTAAATGTGTAAAAGAAGGAAGTAAGGAGTGCATGTTATTGTAGGATAGATAACAGCTGACACTATACTATAGTGGTTAACATCATAGTGACTGGGAAAGCATCATTTTAGGAGTCTGTTTCACAAAGTGGAACTTCCTCCTTACTAATGGAATACAAAGGAGATGTGCAGGTCATAGCTGTGAAGGTCTGGACGACTGGAAGTAAGGAGTATAGCTTATCTGAACATTTGCCATAAAAATATCGATAAAGTAACAAAAGACAAGCAACATTTCATCTGTGGTAATGGGGTTGTAAGATAGAAAATAATTCATCACTCACAAGGCTGCATAAACACTTTTGAATTCTATCTGAAAAGTGGGGATTGTGCAGTTCCAGCAATACTCAATTTCTGGTCTGATTTTACTTTGAAATATAGAACATGGTAGAGGGAGATAATTTCTGGAATAGTACAAGGAACTAACCATTTTTTATCTTAAGTCATATTGTTGTTGCATGTTGAATTTCTTGAGGTAATTTTAGAGTCTAGTCAAAGAGTTAGTTGGATTTACCTTCAATGAGAGATAAATTGTCTTTATTTTTTTTTAAATCATTTCTTCCTAAGCAAGGCAATAATGCCACTGAGATGCAAGGGGTTGCTGTGGTGAAAGCGCCCCTACACACACACACACACACACACACACACATATATATATATATATATATATATATATATATATATATATATATATATATACATATATGATTTAAGGTTCTTTTATCTACCTTGTTGTTGGTATTAATTAGCTTTGTACTTGTCACATACCATAATAACAAGACTATCTCCAGTCTTGTCTTGAAACATTCCAGATAAACACAGAAGAAAAAACAGTTCCAATAACACAGAGTGCCTTAAGGTGGGGTATTAACAAGCTAATCTGATTGACCATTATTTTTTTTGTTCAATCCTCACTGAGTTCCCACTACTTGTAAACTTGTGCCAAACTAAGCTAAGTTTTCTGTCTGAATTTCTGAGATGAGGAGTTTTCATTATTTACAGTGAACTCACAATTACTATGGTACCAAATTCATGAACCAACATTTTAACCTTCTTGTGAGTTCAATTCCTGGGCTGGGTAGTCCAGACTCAATGAGAACAGAGCTTGCAAAAACTGGGCAGTACTAAAAAAACAAACAAATCTCTAGGCATGGACAGCAGAATGAGAAGACTCTACCCCATCAGATTATTAAATAAAGGGTTCAGTTTGCAATTTTCTGGGGGTTACCTGGATTGATGGACATCTGAAGAAGGCCGAATGGCACAACAGTCGAAACGTTGTGATAATAGCAACAAAGACGAGAACCTGTCTATATTTCTGAGATGAGGTATTATGTACACTATTTACATTATTCGGACTATTGTCCTCATCTTTGTTGCCATGTTTATCACAACGTTTTGGTCTTCTCAAGGATACATGGCACAGTGGATAAAGGCGTTAGTTAGATCCAGTGACACGACCAAAAGAGTGTGAGTTCAATACCTAGTTAAAGCAGTGGAGAACTTTCAGAGGGGAATTAACAGGCGATAACTGACATCCATTAGACATGGCATGTAGAACTAGAACAGTCTACCCCAGTGAGCGAAATAAAGGATTCAGTTCGACATTCCAACCACCTGAAGAAGGCCAGAGTGTACAATGGCCGAAACATTGTGATAAACATGGCGACAAAGATGAGGACAATAGTCTGAATAATGTAAATAAAGACGAGAACATTAGTCTGAATGTAAATACTGTATATAAGTTAAACTTAGTGAATAATAAGAAACATTAATAGTAATAAAAGTGTGCAGCTTTAACTTTTCTTACCTTATTTTCTTGTATATCATTTTGTTACCACTTTTCTTTGAATTCTTATTTTTGACTTGCAGATCTTTCAAGTATGATCTTATTTTTTTGCCAACCTGTCAGAAAGAAGAAGACAAAGCTACTCATTTCAAAAACTAGCAACTATGGGAACTGAAGAATTATCTCTTCTTAATAAGTTTATTTTCTTTCTCTGTGCTCTCTTTCTTTTCCTTGTCAGTTGGAGATTCATTCATTTTGATAGAATATGCAAACAGAAATCCACAACAAGTGCACCAATTCACAGCCGCTAGTCTTTTACTTTTTTGCTTTTTTTTGATTTTGATCTGTCAGTTCTTTTTTTCCCAAACTCTTCACATAGACTTGTTGAAGTTAATGCTCATTATTTTCATCTTGTAAATACAATGTTAAGCATGAGTAGATAGCTTGTCTATTTCATTATCTCTATCTCTTCATGCTTAAACATCTTTGTTCATGTACCATTTTCTTTCTATTTTATATATTTTTTATATATATTCTTTCATTGCATAATTGTCACTTCTTTTTTTTCTTTTTTTTTTTTGCTTTCTTTTTTTCCTTTTGACCAATTCTCATTTTAATTATCTTTTTCATTTCTTTCATTATTTCATTGGATAAGTCTTTCTTTTATTTTTCATTCATTAGATGATTAATTTTTGCACCTGCTTTCTTTCACTTTTTCATTATTTCATTTTTATCATTTATTTTTTCCATGTACTTCTTTCTTTCTTACAATGGATAAATCTTCCATTTATATTTCATTCAGTAGCTGATTCTTTCTTTTTTCAGATTTATTGTTTATTCTTTCCTTCATTTATTTCTTTTCCCTTTCAGTATTCATTCATTCATTCATTCTTTCTTTCTTTCTTTCTTTCTTTCTCATTTATGCATTTATATACAAAATTCATTTCTTTTTCCTTCCAGATTTATTTTTGTTCTCTTTCTTCTTTATTTTCCCCATATTTCTCTTTCACTCTTTCCTTCAATTCTTCATTTTTCATTTCACAGACACACCGCATTTCCCTCTTGTCAGTCACATGACCAACAAAGTGACTTGTTTGATCTTAAGTGGATGCTAGAATTCAGTAATACCAAAGTGTGCAGGCATCAAAACAATCGAAGCATATTAACCACGAATAGTGTTAACAGTGAACTGATCTAAATTTTACAGGAAACACTTGTTTCTGCTTTAATGTCTTTGGGAGACATTTCCTTATAAGGTTTCCTTACAGAGATAGAACTAAAAGTTGAATAGCTAAAATGTCCAATTCACACATTTATTCAAAAAGATTGCAAAAACTTTTATTTTAATATTAAAACCTGAGTAAGTACAAACTGCAAAACTTATGCAATAATTTTATCACTGCTGCATATGATGACCTTTCAAGTCCTTTTTTATTATCTGTAATAGCTTATTACCCATCAAAAATGGTGGATTTATTTATGTATAGATTAATACTTTTGCCTTGGATTAAAACATCTGTATAAGAGGGTGTTGCAAAGCTCATAAACCATCCAAGAAGAGATTCTAAAAACAATTACATTGTTTGATAATTTAGTTAGGTTTTGGTAAGTGCATTGGGCTAAGTTCTTAGAAGCTATTACCTAAGGTCAAGGTGTCATTTGCTGATCCTTTGCTGAGGATCTAAACAGAATATCTGTACACTCTGTAAAATATATATATATATATATATATATATATATATATATATATATATATATATATATATATATGTGTGTGTGTGTGTGTACATATCCAAAAGAGAAATACAGATTGAGTAAAAATCCAGTTTGTAGCATTTATTTTTTAAAATAGTGCTCAATACAAAGTAGAGCAAAATATTATTATAATATTTTTATTATAATAAATTACAACAAAAACATTTTAATATGTTTTATTCTAATTTATTATAATAAAATATAATATAATATATATATATATATATATATATATATATATATAAAGAAATTATGGTTTTTATTTATTTTATTACATTAAACATTTTTTAGTGGATATTTAAGCCATTAACCAGACAAAGCATAATTTATCATATGAATTGTTTTGTTGTCATAAAATCTGTTTTCTTATGATGCTGTTTGATGAGGAAAATATGTCAAAATAAAAGCTTTCCAAATTGTCTTATATATTTAACATTCCATCAGATTCCCATCCAGCTTTACTCATCTCTCTCTCTCTCTCTCGAAGCAATTTATACAAAGAATTAATTAGCAATGTTAATGTGATTAATGCCTAAATCACTTTTCTAACAAGACTTAATGAAACATTAACTTACTATCAGTTCCTTGAATAATACAATCATTATATTTGAGTTGTTGTCAGATGGAAGTGACAGGCCAAGTACTTTCAACAATTTCAAATTGTTATCTTCGGGGCACAATTTTCTCATACACAGGCAAACACTAAGACAAAATATGTGTAGGCCGAAAGATGTTTTTTTTTAAAATTATGCTATTTATTGACAGATAAATAAATGTTTTTGAGCATGCGATGCTGTGATGATAGAGTACTTGTTCAAATCAATCAAGTGAGAACAACTCAAATATAAGGATCG